GGGGGCGGGCGGTGACCTCCTTACCCGAAAAAAACCCGCAATGCCCGAAAGGGTAAGGGTTGAAATTAGGATGCAAACGGAGACGTTCACCATTTTCCCATATAATGAAACTGCTATCAATGAAAGCTGTCAATAACTGGTAGTTACCAACTGGGTGACATCAGCTCGTATTATGTGATACTTTAATACTGAGATTTACGGATAGAATCGATCGAATAGAACAAACGAATTACTTAATGGAATTTGTGTAGTATTTACCTTTCGCCTTGTTGGCCTTGACGGCCACTTGACCTTTAGTCACCTAAGTTTTTTCACGTCTTCTTGAACCTTTTAAGTCCACGGACTTCACAACGAATCGAACGAACTTCAACGAGGAAACTTAAACCTTCCTGTGAACTCGTCAAAATGTTTTCCCGCTCTCCGCGAAATTGGCACGAAAATTAGGCACGAACTGCAGCAGAAGTTACCGAAACGATGCACTTTACATTTTACACGATCTTATTCAAATTACGAAATCTCTGAAGACACCGCTTTCGGGCATCTAATCATCTGAAAAGTAATTAACTAGAAACTTTATTTACGACTTTTGGAAATCACGCCAACGGCATTATTTTATAATATTTTCTCCCAAATGTCATGGCCCGAATCAAGAGCGTTTTGCCCGAAAAATTACCTCATTTCCGCAGCTGGGGGGGGGGGGGTGGCTGCAGCCCCCCCGCCCCCCCGGCTCGTACGCCTATGAGTAACACAACAACGAATTTTTTTTCGCAGTTCATCGCTCACCCAATGGTGTATGACTTGCTCAACTCCACATGGTACGGCTCTTTTTCCTCAGTAAGAACAGAATCATGGCGGAAACCTGGACGATGGGGATACTTTTTTCTCAACCTCTGGACAGTGTTTGACTTCGTCTTATTTCCCTTGCTCTTTGCAATTTTCTTCGCTGTGCATTTGTTTAAACAGGCCTTGAGGAACAGGAGAGGTTTGTGATATCGCGCATTAGTAGTGCGTGTGTACTTTGCGTAGTAAGCTCCGTGGTAGTCAAGAGATTTAAAATTTCTATATGAAACACCCCTCCTCAGAATGATTATTTTCCTACTTGGTTCCAAAGAGAACAAGAAAGTGTTACATGCAGTTGTTACAACTCAAATTGAGAAATCTTTTAAGAAGTCATATATTTTTATGGCTTTCAAATCTCTCTTCACTGCTCGGAAGTGTTACTGGCTTTATGATTTAAATGTTTCACTTAGGTTACAGGTATTGTGGAAGAGGACCTATGTGGTGAGGATGGGCTAATTTTGGTAGCTAGATATGATTTCCCTAGACCGTTCAAGATTTTTTACGAATAATTTTTGACAGACGACTAGTGCTGTCGGAGGTTTCTTTTAGAAAGTCTCCATTCTAAGCTAGAGTTGTTCGGAAGTGTTACTGACTTAATAGTTTAAATGTTTCACTTCTGTTACAGGTATCGAGGAAAAGGACATCTATGGTGAGGACGGGTTAATTTTGGTAGCTAGATCTCCATAGACCGTTTAAGGTATCATAGAAGGAAAAGAAATATACTTTTTTCAATTTCCTGAAAATTTAATATTATGAAAATAAAATCTATCATCTTCTGAAAATTTTATTTTAATATATTTTTTACTTCAGGAGATATAAAGTAAGAACTAATTTGAGGGTAGAACAAAAGGCGCGAGATTGATTACATTTCATGTTAACTTGATCTCGTCACTTACTAACGGTTTTAAACCAGTCTTGATTTTCTTGCTCATTCGTTATCAAGTATACCTGCAGTAGCTCTTTCCGAAAACTAGATATATAGAAAGATTGTTTTTGTAATTCAAGTGTTGTTTACTAGCTGTTATCAAGACCAAAAGCGACAAGTTTCTTTTGTCGCTCTGGAAAAAGGAAAATTTTATCGCAGTTTCCATCGGAGCGGAAATATTTTTCACCGATAATAATAGGGGTTCCTACTAAACTCAGAGAGATTCAGTGGCCAGAGTCTATTTCTATCGAAGTTGCCGTGGGCACTAGTTTGCGAATAATACCGCCGACAGTGCATCATCCTTCGCGTGGCACTGCACTTCGAGCATCGAACGTCGAAAAGCTGTGTTGCTTTTGTTGGGTAACTCTCGTTCCTCAGCCTGACCTCTTTCGTTCTCTTTTTTCTGGTCGTAGCATCTTCCATAGCATCTTTCATAGTGATACAAACAGCTCCATAATCACGCGTATTACAGTTAACCTGCTCGACTTAACTCGTTACATATTGTGTCGCGTCGGCGCCGATAGGCAAAACGGTGTCAAATGGCTTGCTTCAATGCGATTTGATAACAGCCTTCACAGGCGTGAGGTGGCAACGCGTTTATGCAAACAAACGCCGACGCACCGAAAACCTTAAGTCGCTTTTTCTCTTAAAGTGTTTAAGCTCGAGTTCTGAACTTTGAAGAGTTAATTCTCGGGCGATACTCGGTCAATTTTCGTCAGATTTGGAAAAAAATGTCAGTAATGAACCCAAAAGGTTTGTCTGGGAATTTTGATTTTTCCCCTTACTTTTTGAGATTTTGCCTCTACATCGAAAACTTTGTTCAAAAGGGGTACTTTGAAAAATAAAAGGATTGAAAAATAACTAAGCGTCAAAAGACTAAACCCAGACACGCTTTTTTTTTAGTTCAACATGTGTAGATCACGTTCCGATAAAAGACAGAAGGAGTCCACCAAGAGTGTCGTGAAATACACTCATCTTGTCGAGTGTCTCCGTGTGAAAGAATAAGCTCCCATTCTGTTCAATAGAAAAAATCGAAAAAATAAAGAAATATCCGAAATCCGTGTTAATTAGGCTTTAAGAAAATGTGTACTTTTATAAGGATAGCGCAAATAGTTTTTACGCTATTTCATTTTGAATGAAAATGCTAATTTCCCTTCTGTGATACTTAAAGAATTTTTTTCGAAAAATTTTTGTTAGACTATCATTGCAGTCGGAGTTTTCTTTCGAGAGTCTCCACTCTAAGCTGGTGTCTCATTCATTTTCTTCTAGAAAAATACAAGGAATACTTTACGACTCCTTATTTCATCTTTTTTCGCGACACGTTGAGCTACCTTACCCTCCTTGGTCTTCACTTCGCCATTTGCCTGTCTCCTTCAACAATTTCCTTCAGTGCACTAGAATGGGTTATCTTTGTTTTCTTCCTGGGACGCATTTTAATGGAGGTGGATGAGTTTATAAGAGCTAAAACGGCCGGAGTAAAAGCACGAACAATAAGGGAGAGAAATTATGATAAACTCAACCACCAAGAAGAAAATGGGACTGCAGAAAATGACGATATCTTGCTTAAGAAGTTTCTTAGTTACTTCAGGTATTTCAGTTTTTGACTGTATATGTTTATCGAAATCATTGTTGATTTTCAGTTTTTGATTGGCCTATTTGACTTTCGGAAAATACTTGGTTCACACACATGTAGATGACATACATCTATGTGACGAGTGAATCCTTGGGTTTAGGTGACGGAGAAAGAATTAACCATCTTAACTAAGGTAACGAAATGGACCACTATTGCGTGGTTGGGTGCAACACTATGAGCCACCATTCATTTTTTAGAGTTGCATAAGACATGATAAAGTGCACCATTTTCAACGCTTGGGTGCATCAGTAGGAGCCAGTATTCAATGTTTTGTAGCCTAGTGTAGTCGGAGCCCCCCTGCCCCTCCAAGGAGAGACAGGAGTGAGGGAACCTTCTACGAAAACCTGACGTGAATCGTGTTATATGGCGTCGCTCTTATGCATGAAAATATGTAATGATTTTTTTATTGGTTAACCGTTTTTTGGATCTTTGCGTAAATTATGATTGGCTAAAGTTGGTTGTTTTCTTTCATACTAACGAAAAAGATGGTGAACATGACTGCCTTCATGGTCACCTTTCCGGACAACATCGATCTACGACGAGATTTTAATGAACTTTGTGCGACTTTTGGGATAGAGAAATTTCAGGAAAAAACAGCAGAAAGCCATAGATATGTTTTTCGAAGGTAACGATGTCTCCGTTTCGCTACAAACTGGCCATGAAAAATCTTATATGGAATAGGCCGCGCCAGTGATCAATCGCCACTCTTCTTGGGAGAAACCGATCACTCTACATTTCCGCCTTTTAAAGCCCTCATGGAAGACTAAGTGTACCGTCTCAATGGACTTCGGTCCGGAGGATTGTCCGCCTTCAACTCTCGGTCCCCTTGCGATGGTGATACGAGGATAAAAAAAAAAAACTAGCTGTTTCTTGTAGTGATCCATTCGACTGAAAAATGCGTCGCTCCTTCTTCACACTTGCAGTTCAACTATCTCTTCAAGAAACCCGTAAAAATTCGACATTCTGCGACAAATGATCCAACTTTCTTAGACGACCGCGTGGACGTTCAAATAGATTTTCTAAGGGCGATGCTAGTCGAACATTGTCCTCTTCTTAGTTTATACCAAAACCGCTCAATGGCAAAGTATATATTTGAACGCGGACGTTGAATTGCAAATTTATCAGAAATAACGGGAAAATAACTCAACGGAATGTTGTTGTTTACTTCGATTACTTTTCACAATAGCTCGTGGCACGCCGCAAAAAACGCTAGTCATAATTTTACATAGATTGGAGTGGCTTCATATAACATGATTCGTGTCAGGTTTTCGTAGATGTTCCCTCCCTTCCTTTTCTCTTTTTTCTTGAAGGAGGGGGGGGGGAGTAGCTGTTTTGGTACATATTCAAGCACATCAGTAGGTGAGGCCCGGTTTAAACGTCGCATTTTACATGCGCCGAATCTAATACTAATTTAAGTCGACATGAATTAAAAAAGTTCGGCATTTGATTTAAACGTCGTATTTAATTGTGCCAAATTTAACTGCCGAGTGCGAGTGCCAGCTTCATTCCCAGACTCCGCTCTAAGTCCCCCGCCAATATGGCTGACAAAAAAAAAGAGGATATTTTGTGTTTGCGGCGTTTATGCCTCTCAAGCACCATTCACGCTAACAGGAAACGGCGACATAATGCAGATCGCAGTGTATCATCTGCTAGCAAGAAGAAGACGGCTTCTGTATGTTTGTTCCCTTGTTATGCTTTTCCTATCGCAAAGGAATGCCATAGCACGCGTCCCAAGACACCGATCGTGCCGTCGATTGATACGAAATGAAGGCTGGTGGCACAAGGTCTGGACTACATATTCTGATGTTCGATTCTTTCCCGCCAGTTTTCTTTATGGGTAAAATATAATTAAACATAATTTATGAATAGACTCGGCACATGTAAAATGCAGCGTTTAAATCAACTGTCGATCTTCAGTCGCATTTTCGACTGGATCAGTCGAAAATTCGACTGAACTCGCATTTAATACAAATCTGCCGAATTTAATTGATGTAAACGTCGCATTTTACATGCACTTAATTCGGCAGTTAGATTCGGCGCATGTAAAATGCGAAGTTTAAACCGGGCCTTGGTGTCTCTTTATTTTTGGGTACATTATCATGGACCAATGTTATTTTTAAGGTACACCATAATGGGTTGCCGAATATTATTATTTGTTTTAGGTAAAAGCAGGTCATTGATTGGGTTTCACCTATGTCGGGATCCTGAATATTGAAAATGAGTGTGCTGCTGATTCTTCTCGTTGAGAATGGACATACAAAAGTTTTAAACTACACGCTATAATGACTTTGAAAACAGCAAGCAAGAGAAAGATAAAAATTAGCATAACGCTCTCATTTTAATTGTAATCTATTCTTTTAATCATTTTTTTGTATGAAAAATGTAATAACATATAGTCTGCATGCGAGAACTGATTCTACTTGCATATGAATGACATGGGATCTTTGCAATAACTATGTTTATTTATGATCTTCTTATGCAGCTTATATCCATCCTTTTTATAGTGACCGTTGGAATGTGCTTGACCTCATTACTCTTTTTTTCTACCTGATTACCTTCATCTTACGCATGATCACATGGAGTAACTCCACGGACGTATCAAACAACAGATTTTTGGCTGTGGCGGAGTATTTCTATGGCTTTATCGCCATGGTTCTCGCTCTGAGGACCTTTGGTCAAGTCATGGAGTGCAAGCAGAAATTGGGCCCAATACAAATCGCCTTATTCTCCATTATCAGGGATGTGTTTGCGATATTTTGGCAGGGTTTGGCCATAATTCTGGCGTTTTCTCTGGCCATCACCAAGATTTATGTTACTGAGAAAGCCTATACCTCAGGAAAAGATTCTGCGGAGGATTTGTGAGTACAGTTCGTGATCTTGCTTTGTTTTCGAGCCTATGAATGACAGACTCTAACTTGCATTGTTGGGTTTTTTTAATTTTTTTCCTTTTTCCGTTAGAGCGTGAATGCGTTTAAGTGGGTAGCTAGAGGAGCTTTTCTTTGACGTTATAAAAAGGAACTTTATTTGTGTATAGGCGCCCGACGGTGGAAAAAATTGGCTAAACGTGAATTAAGTGAGATTTAGGTTTTCGATGGGAAACCTAACAGGAGTGTAAAACTACTTACCCCAGAATGCCAAACTTTCTATAAAAGGTCATGTGTTTTCTATTTTTATGATTGTTTCTCTCCTATCTTTTAAAGGGCATGCGGTGAATCAGGGATAATTTGGTAAGGGTAAAATTGTTCTTGTTGTTTTCCATTCTTATTTTTAACATTTTACACTGACTTGCCAAATTATGCCATTCTTTCATGAGATGTTCGTTTTTAGTACGTCGCGATTATTCAAAACTCAGTGTTGCAAGCTGAAGTTGTGGGGCAAGAAAGTCAACAATCCAGTACCTCACTAGGATTCACTTGTGTTAAAAAGGGATTAACGGCTGGCTATCTGTCTACCCCAGAGAAAGGGAAACTAATCATAAGGTCTGTCGAGAGACAACAAGTACGGGTTTAGCTTTGCCAAAATATTTTACTTTTCATCATGAAAACTCTCAGGAAGAAGCCGCTCCTTTTTGTGGCAGTAGAGTTACGAAACAATAGGCCGAGCAGCGCGCGTCTAAAGTACTCTGTTTTCCTCCCATTCCTCTCGCAGCCTCGCGACCAATTTATATAACTTCGTTTCTCAAAACCTCCACAAGCAGCCAGCTATTCAATGTATCTTTTACCTAAAAGAGGCACCTTGCGGTTTTTCCCGTCTAAAATAGATCCAAAAGTAATCATTTGTATTTCCGTTTACTTGTTTTTGCATACTAAGACATACATATGTTGTTTGACGTAATAGACCTGACAAGTTCTTTTGAAAGTAAAATCTTTTGGATCGATGATCCACAGGGGCCAATTTCTCTATGAGAGTATAATATTATAAAGCTTTGTATGGGAGTTTATGCTCCTCTTTGTTATTCCGTAACTAATAAACTCTAACCTATTCCCCATTTCAGAAACGAGTGGGCGAGTGGGTCGAGTTCGCCGCCCAAGTTTGTCTGGGATCGTTAATCGGGAAACAAACCTTTGTTTGCATTAGATTTGTGTCCCGAGTATCGATCCCAGACTAACCTGCGCGGTGAAGTCGACCCACTCCGACACTCGTTTTTGAAATGAAGAATTATATAGTGTGCTCACGTTATTTGTGTTCCTTGGTATCGAATTCAGGCCACTTTGTCGACTTGTAACTGATCTCTCATCCTACTACTGCTTGTGTTAAGAGGAAGGAAAGGAGGAAGGCTTCGTCAGATCAGTGGATTTAACCAATTGCGGAAATCACTTGATTCAAGGACTAAATCCCGCCTCCTTGCTTCGAGACTCTGAATCAAGAAAGCCAGACAAGTTGATGGAAAAAAATTCTATAAAAGTTCTGAACCGTAGGGAAGCCCTTTGGGGGAATTTTGACTCGTGTCCAGGGTGACAATTTCATAATGGTCACTTAATTGCCCAAGAAGTTCTCGCCGCTGGTTCAAAGTAGCTTCAAAGTGGCTGGTTATCGGAAATTCTCGCTGGATTGATTCCTCAACGGAATAACTTTCAAAGAATATTTTTCGATCAACTTGAAGGATGATCCAAATAAGAGAAGGACGCTGATGTTTGGAAGTAGCTGTGGCGGTCATTATGGTCTCAATAGAAATTTCCAAATGATTATTTGATCTAATTCGTTACTTTTGAAATTGTTCTCTAGTTGGTGGAACATGGCGACGCACCTAAGCTGGTCTTTACTGGGCTTAGGCGACCTGGATAAATTGAATTCCGTCGACAATCCTTCCGCTTTTATGGTTCGTCTCCTGTACAGCTTCTTCTTAATCATAGCAGTTATTCTTCTCGTTAACATGATGATTGCTTTGCTCTCCAATACCTATCAGCACGTTCAGGTACTAAACAGTCTTTCTACCCTAGCGGTAGTAATTCATTCTTTCCGTAATCCAGAATGAAGAAAATACGAGAAGTCCTCGACTGTAAACTGGGACTCTTTTTGGCGTAAGATGTCAGATACATTTTCCGTTAAGTTGATAAACTTCTATGATCATACGAATTTTTTTTGGCTACCGACATTTAAATCCAATTGGCTCAAAATGTCCCATATTATGATAGCCATTTACTTTCTCTGCCTGAGCGATGGTCAGTTCAAGAAGAGTGGCTCAAGGCTCCCTTGAATGACTTTTTATGGAACCCGTCCGCAAAACTGGATTCGTGGTTTCGGACTGAAACTATAAGAATGAGTTTTTAAGGACGAAAATGACGTTCAAGATTGTTGTATGATACGACATAGTTTTTCTTCTCTTAAAGGAGTGGTGCCTGTGGTTCCTATCCACTGGTAGGTCTCTAGAGACTGTTAAATCACTCTTTGTTTCTCCATTATTAGAATAATTCACTCCAGGAGTGGTCTTTCAAGAAAGCCATTACTGTTAGGACTTACAGTACCTATCATCCGATACCAGTACCTTTCAACATTTTGTCTATCCCACTGAAAGTGTTTTGGAGAACACACTTTGACAGTCCTGCTTTAGACGAGGAAGGTCGGGTAAGCTGGTAACGCTGCGCTAATTAATTTTGTGAATTTTGACAGAGGCCACTGTTGTTAAAAATTATCATTTACGTCTGCTCAGTTATTTTACTTTGATTTTGATTTTAGCTTTCTCTGATTCGACAGAGTGACAACCTGGATAAATTGGTGGATAGCTTACAAACAATCTACTTCGAGAAGTATGGTTATGAATTTCCACTCACAGGTAGGGCGATATGCTAGATTTGTGGATCATAACCTCGATCACACATTTGTGATACGTTCATAAACCAAGAAAAGGGGCGAAAGGGTTGTTGTCCTACTAAAAACAGCCAAGGCTATGATTGAACGAATTTCTTAAAGAATCTAAAGATAACAATTAAACAGAGGCGTATTGTAATGATTTCGTTTCGATTCAAAACAGGTCAAGTTAATGGGCTGTTTCCTCTCTTTATTTAGAAGAGAAAAAGATAGATCACTTGATTCAAGAAAATGAAGGAAATCGGAAAATGACCAGTCAGATAGCACGGCAAGTATTCAAACCGCTTGGAAACAAGGAGGAGAAACTTGCGTTTGGCCAAGGAGTAAGTGTCTTTCAGGTCCACATTCCGGTGAATGCTAAATATGAAGTTCCCTACTATAAAGGGTCGATCCTGCTACATCATGAAACAACGAAACACCTTTGTCATCTTTTTTTAACATAACAATCCCTTCTCTAAAGAAAATTTGAATGTAAGATGAGGGAAAGTAGATGCTCTGCCGTATTTTCTTTATTCCCTCTAAGCGTTTGAAGCAGACTTGAGATTTGTGTGGTCGTGAGTAGTTTACAATGATGTTTTTTTTTTAATCAATCTTTAGTTAATAACACAAAAATCGAATAAAAAGTTATATACGCATAAAGATATATACAACTAGATTTGCAGAGTGTTGTAATCCTGTTTGTCTTTGTCAATCTCTGAGCCTCGCATTCGTGTGGGTCCTTCATGTAACTGAAGTTTTCTTCGATTGGCATTTAAAGGCGTGGTATGATTCGCAAGGAATTGCCGTCGATGGCTGCCTCTTAACTTACTTGGGACCTAAGTTCTGCCACGATTGCAATGGAAGCAGTATTCAGGTTGAGGAACATAGCGCCAAATTTAACTCTCCTTTTACACCAGAGACACCTCGACTTGAGGTGAGGTTTGGTTTCTAATTATAATACATACATACATAATGCATTCATTAGTCTGAAGCCCCCTGCTGAGAGCTCCTTCGTCATACGAAGGAAACTATTTGGGAACCGCATAATTCCTGCTCTATGATAAAAAATCTCTGGATAAGGAACATAAGTACATCTAGTTTTGACCCTCTTCTTTTTGAAAGCCCAGGTTCGTATAACTTTTCTTTTGTAGGCGCTCTTAGGTATGTTCGTTTCTAATTTGGAGCACAAACATACTCACGATTCTGGGGCTTTCCATGGAAATTTCGACTCAATCACTATTTTCATACAGTCACAAATCGCACCTAAGCTTGTAAAGTGCATGCGCAAAGTTAACTAAGTGTATACGAAGGACTGAAAGAAAATTGCGTCGTTGAAAAATAAGAACATGGCGTGTAATACGCGCGAACCACCAACAAATTGACCGTCTGAGTCTTATTACTTACAACTGATTTTGATGCGCGGCTAAACTGTTACTTTCTTGGCACCGATGAAATTTTTCAGTATCAATTTGGCCGTCATTTTCCAATTTTTTTTACTGTTTGCTACCACGGTACATGATCATAAGCAATGGCGGTTAAACGTGCTCAGAGGCTCCGTATTACTCTTGCTAATATACACGATTCAGAGGAATTTACGGGATCCATGTTTTGGTCCACAACCGAATAGCGTTTACACGAGTACTGGTTTGGCGGTTGGGCAGGAAGTTAACGCTTTTTCACGTACTAAATTCTCACTGAGGAAATCGCTTCATCGAAACAAACGCCATTTTGGTCTCTCCCGCAACGCTTCGGCCCTGCTTGTCAACCCAACAAGAGATGTCCTTCTCGTCACTCTACTTCTACAATGCAATGATGTCTCACTAAACCCTGGCCCGCCAGTGAAGCTATCTGCTGAAAATTTTACCCGCTCTAGAGGTCTCAACATAGCACACTTAAACGTGAGAAGTTTAATGCCGAAATTGGATTCTTTAAAGATACAAAAAGCAAAGCAAACCGGACGACAACTGAATCAAAAAGCGAAGCAAACCGGATGACAACTGGGTAAGTAACATTTCTTCTCGTTCCTTAGACAAGACTGAAATTCAGGTATTATCATACGGACTAACACACTCAGTAACACCTAAACACATACCGACCGAGGCTATTGTATCTAGTGTTGAGGCGGCCCTGTCTCGGCAACGAGAGCTATCTGAGCCGACCAAGGATAATATCAGAAGCAGAATTGCCTCCACTATACAATCAACGTCACTACATGACAGCAACTTGACTAAAGACGAACAACGCACACTGAAACGACTGAGCAACGACGAGAGCATAGTCATCCTACCAGCGGACAAAGGACGAGTTACTGTTGTTATGGACAAAACTGACTATCACGACAAAATGGACGCACTAGTTAACGACAAACGAACCTACGAAGAACTCAAACGTGACCCAACTCCTGCACTTCAACGTAAACTCAACAGTAAACTACTGACACTCAAGAAAACGAACGCCTTTGACACCCAACGGTACTATCGACTGAGGTGCTCGGTACCACAGCCACCGAAACTCTACGGTTTGCCGAAACTACACAAACCTGGTTTCCCGATGCGACCTATTGTTTCTTTCTGTGGCTCTCCCACATACCAACTATCCAAGTACCTGACGACAATACTACAACCGCTAACCGACAAATCCAGACATAAACTACAATCCACTGAAGACTTCATTAACGCTACCAAGACTGTTCAGATACCTGACGACTACAAACTAGTGTCATTTGATGTGAAATCACTGTTCACAAGTATTCCACTTCAATTCNAACCGCCGCCTGGTTAGCTCAATTGGGAGAGCGCCGGACTGCTGTGCGGGAGGTCGAGAGTTCAATACCGGCCGGACCAACACTCAGGGTCTTAAAATTAATTGAGAAGAATATGCTTCCTTTCTTTAACATCAAGAAATGGTTAGATATTCTAGTCTTCTCGGATAGGGACGAATAAATGGAGGTCCCGTCTCCTGCAGGGTTGGGGTAGGAGACGTTAATTTCCCACGCACGAGATTACTGTGTGATGGATGTCCTCCCTGGGGTGGGTTGGGTGGGTAGGTGAAATCGCTACGGACTAAACACGGCTGCCAGAAGCGCCTGTCTGATTTCAACCTTAAAAAAAATTGTAACTAAACACGTATGTTGTTTAGAGAAATAGAGACCTTTACCTTTACCTTATTCCATGATTTTCTGTGTTGTTAACTCAGGTGTTACCAAAGCGTCAGGGAAAACTATTGAATATCGTTCTTTTAATTATTATGCCAAAGAAGATTTTGTAACTGACTTGAGAGATGTTGACTGGGAATCTGTTGCAAACAAGGAAGATGTCAACTCTGCCGTCTCCACATGGAACAAACTGTTGTGATAGACATGCCCTTATAAGGAAAGCAAGGATACGTGGAGTCCGCTGTCCGTGGATGAACTCGCGTTTATCACAAGCTATGAGCCAACGTGATTATGTCCATAGCAGAGCCATTAAATCTAACTCACCTCACCTCTGGTCACGTTAGAAGAAGAGAACTATGTCAACAAAGAAATACAAAGATGCAAAGCGGAGTACTTCTCAAACCTAATATCCGTTAAGAAGAGCAATCCAAGTGCATTGTGGAAAACCTTGAATGAAATCACTTCACGTAAACAGAGCTCTCCAATCTCTTGTATCGAAGCCGATGGTTTAGCACGTTGTGATAATCCATCTATTGCCAATATCCTAAATGTTCACTTCTCTACAATTGATTCAAAGCTCGCAATGAAACTAAAATCCTTCATTAGCTTACCATCTCCTCCTGTAAGGTCTACTGATTTACCAAAGTTTGTTTTCAAACCAATAACTGAAGAGTTCGTGTGCGATCAACTTAAAGAACTTAGAACTAACAAGGCAATTGGCCTAGACAATATTAGTGTTCGTCTTCTGAAAGACTCAGCTAGTGTATTGAATTAGTAAGTCTCACAAGATTGTTTAATCAATCTTTGGTCACTCGTACCTTCCCTTCCTTATGGAAGTTTAATTTGGAAAGGTATCTGCCCTCTTCGAAAAAGGCGATCGCTGAGACCCAAACAATTACAGGCCAATAACTGTGCTACCTACGTTGAGTAAGATTCTGGAGAAGGCAGTACATAACCAACTCTACTATTTTCTCAAGGAAAACGAGATTATTACCTCCAAGCAATTTCGTTTTCGACCTGAACTATCAACTAATACAGCTTTGACACACTTTACAGATAACGTACTTCTGAACATGGACTCTGGTCGTCTTACAGGAGCTGATTTCTTAGATCTCTCGAAAGCGTTCGACACAGTTGACCACAACCTTTTACTTCATAAGCTTAATTCGGTTGGACTCTCAGCTGATACTCTAAATTGGTTCCAGTCATATCTCACAAACAGAAAACAAAGGACGTCTGTCGGAGATGCACTCTCTCTTGCTGCACCAATAACTGTTGGGGTCCCACAAGGAAGTATATTAGGACCGCTTCTTTTCCTTATCTACGTTTATGATTTACCATCGTGTCAGCTTGCCAGAGAAACTATTCTTTACGCTGATGACACTGTAATTTATTATTCTTCGACTAATCTATCTGACCTTGAAAGTAAGTTAAATTTAGATTTGACTACAGTTTCTAACTGGTTTTAGAGTAATCTGTTGACACTAAATATTTCTAAATGCAATTTCGTTATTTTTGGTTACCCACGGAAGCTTAAACTAGTCAATGACGTCTCTCTTAAAGTAAATTCCACTACTATTGATAGGTCTGACTCGCTTAAGTACTTGGGAGTTGTTATAAACCAAACTCTGTCTTGGTCCGAGCACATTGATACCATCAGTACAAAGATCAATTAAAGGATTGGAATGATAAAGAGAATACGACATCTTTTGCCTCTACATGCTAAACGAACACTATATAATTGCTTAATCATCTCACCGTTTTATTATGGAGACACAGTGTGGGGTGACAAAAATAACGACACGCCTATGGGTCATCTGCAAGTTCTTCAAAACAAGGCAGCCAAGGTCCTGCTTAATTAGCCACCAAGAAGTTCATCAACTGAGGCACTAGATCGTTTGGACCTAAAGCCCCTCTCGAAGAGACGACACTTCCATCGCTGTGTTATGATGCAAAAATATCTATTAGGGGAAATTGATTTAAATTTGACATCAGACGCAAAAGTAGTTTTCATTCTCATCTAACTCGCAGAAGCAATGATTTACATCTTCCTCGCGTGCGTACCAATTGGGGCAAGCAAACGTTCATTTATCAAGCCTCTAAGGACTGGAACAACTTAGAAAAGGACATTAACAACAGGAAATCATTGTCCCTCTTTAAGGCAAAGCTTAAAAGTTTGTAACTAATGCGCTATCTCATTGTTGAGTTATTTTAAAATTAATTCACTGTTGTAATATCAATTTTTTTTTCCTAGGTAATTTTATTTTATTATTTGCAGGGCCCCACTGAAAACCGCTACGGCGAGTGGGCTCCCTGGATAAACATCATCATTATTATTATTATTATTATTATTATTATGATTATTATGCAATTAATTTTACTTTAAAATTAACTTTTTCGTGAAACCTCATCTTACGCCTGTTATAACCCATATGGTGTACTATTAATGCTCAGTACGAACCATCCGTGGATACGAAACGAGTGGATATTCATTGTTTTGTAGGTACTTATTCAGGAGACGGGGGAGAGGCGTTCAATAGGATTGGGTGTGGTGTATGAGGATTATAACCATCACAATTTCCCCGGGTGGCGTCCTGGAACAGTTGGTTACCACGTGGACGATGGGAATATATTTGAAGGCGTGCCCTGTTGTGGAAGAGAAGTCGAAGGTATGGGCTACCTTAACAACAGGTGTCACTTGTCTATTACAGTATTTACGCAGGTTTCGCCACCTTGCAAGTTCGTTCCCGACTATCTTTGCGACTTTCCCTTCTGAAGCAAGGTGAGTTTGCCCCCATTTTTACCAATTCGCCCCTAATTTTTCCACTCATTTTCTGATGGCTGAACATACTTCTCCTCGGTCGAAATCAAAGTTTCTTTTCCAGAGGCATGAGTTGAGTTCAAAAACACGAAAAGTCGCCATGAAAGGACAGGCGCAATGACACACGAGTGTGAATAACAAACTACGAAATACGTACGTTGGTAATTGCTTCAAAATGTGGCTTGCCTCCTGGAGAAGCCATTTTCGTTCATAAAAATAGCATTTGAAATTTGTTACGAACACAAACATAAAATAGTGAATGAAGGTATTATTCAGCAAATGACACAGGCATACTCGGAGGAAAAAGGAACTCCGAGTGTACCCAGTAGACGAACATATACGTCCTTCCGATCAGTACTTCGAATACTGTACCACTGAGCTATGGGAGACTCGTGGCAGGCCAGGCCGTTTAACTAGGTCCATGGTGACAAACATCCCGCATACTCTAAGGATAGGTATGTCGATACATGATGCTTATGCGCAATAGTGATGTAAATGAAGATGGTAAATTTGTGAAAGGGATGTGAACCCTGTTAGATAAAGATCATACATGGAAATGAAGCGGCTTTGCATCACTCTGCAATAGTCGCGCGTTGGTTAACTCGGTTGCCAAATTGAATTTGCATGTTGACCGATATTTGTCATGGTTTTGCTGTGAAATTTCATGCTAATCGATATATACCATGATATAGGAAACGAGTTGAAATATTCTGAGGTGAAACTGGTAAGGGTGGGGGCGAACCTATTTTACTACATGGGACGGCTGGCTCATAATTGAGGTAGGAGGCAAACTTACAATGAGGCGAAACTTCCAGTTCCCTACTAACCAGGATCCGATGGCCTTTGAAACCGCATTCAAGATTTTACCGTCCTCCTCAATCTGACCTTCCAACAATCAATTTCCGTTCCAAAATGAAAAGGATTCTGAAAAGTTAGTTCGTAACATTGAGGGTATCTCTTTCAAATCGAAATAGACCCCTCGATATTACCATTCTGATGTGCACGGAGTAAATGCGGAATATATTGTTGTTGTGCGTGCAAGATGTAGTTACATGCCCAGGATAGAGTGTTGCTGGACAAAGTTGCTTAGTAATCCATAGGCCTGGGGTGTGAAACTGAAAAAAAAAAAAAAAAAAACCGGATCCTTTGATCGTAAGGGTTCGGAATGTCGCCTTCTGTATGCTGATCAAGTGCTCCAAAAAGAATACTTTATAGGCCAAGGAGATTCATATCAACAAATGGCACTTCCTGGATCATTGGTATAAATTTCAGTCCTTGTAGAAATAGAACGAGAGAGATTGAACTTTAACTTCGGATGAACGGAGAGGTTGTTCATCGATTAAGATCGAACAACAAAGAAAAAAGTTCAATTTCACACAATGTTGTTACATAAGTTGTTACCTCGTGTTTGGTTTAACTTTTTTTCTTTTTGCTATGTACTAAAATATCTTAAATCGATGAATTAGGAGCCATGGCTCACCGCGGCGATCTCATTGCGTGTGAAGTTGATTTTGAGGGAGTGCACGATGGCAGAATCCCTGTGTTGTTTTTCTTAAACGGTAAAGAAGTGGCGCGATCTTCATTGAAGTACACCTCAGGGCAAAAACTGATTCCCTCCGTCGCATTGGCAGCTAAAGGCATTACAGTGCTGGCAAAGGTATGTTTGAAAGGAAATGGGGGAGGGCGATGGGCTATGAATTAAAGCTGTAAATGGTTTGATTTCATGAGTGATAAGTTAACACACCTCGGCACGCTCCTCCACCCTTAATGTGCCCGTGACATTGTCAATAGAATTCAACTCAATATGGACAAGGGCATGTTTTCGTGTGGGGTCTTTATTGATCTGCAAAAGACATTCGATACTGTCGATCATTATATCTTATTACGTAAGCTGGCTCTTTACGGAATTCATGGTACAATCAATGATCGGTTCTGTTCATACTTATATGGAAAAACCCAAACCACTCAGGTAAGTGCCTATATTTCTAAAAAAGAAAAAACCTCTTGTGGAGTGCCACGGGGTTCTTTTTTGGGCCCTTTATTGTTACTGATTTATATTAATGATATTTACAAGGCTTCAAACAAACTAGGATTCTACCTATTCGCTGATGATACAAATCTGTTATATGCCGATAAGAATTTAAAAATCACTTGAATCTGTTGTAAATGTGGAGCTACTTAGTATCTGTGACCGGCTAAGCGCTAATAAATTCTTCTTAAATATAAAAGAAAACTAATTTTGTTATCTTTCATCCATACCAAAAACGCTTAGATTATGAAATTAAACTTAATATATATAACAACTGAAGTAATAGACTGATAAGTATAGAACGTAAATCATATGTTAACTACTTAGGGGTACTAATGGATAGCAATCTCTGATGGAAATATCATATTAGCTACATCGCGTCAAAGATCAGTAGTCATATAGGTATAATATCTAGATTAAGGCATTTCACTCCCTTCGTGACTTTGCTTGATATATATAGATCTCTCATTCTTCCATATATCTCCTATGGCCTTACTGCCTGGGGACAGGCAGCCAAAACGCACCTAAACAAGATACTCCATCTTCAAAAACGGGTAGTCCGCTTGATGAATTTCTCTAAGTTTAATGTTCACGCTGTTCCACTTTTTATATCTACCAATATTCTGCCTTTACCTTTAATCTACTTTAAGAATTGCTCTATCTTAATGGATGATGTCTATAACAAAGTCGTGCCATCTAACATTTCTGCTCTCTTTCGACCCATTAAAGATGCTCATCATTATAACACACGATCTTCTAACGCTGGTAACTTCTATATAAACTACTCTCGATTAAATCACGATAAGAATTCTTTTTCCTCTATGGGCGCAAAAATTTGGAACTGTATTCCTGATGTTTTGAGACAGCTTGCAAAATATAGTTTCAAGAAAAAAATAACCGAATCTTTACTTCAAATCCTTCTAAACCAGGATTCTTATCCTGATATTGATGTATTAATAAACGAAATGACAAGAAACTAGACTTCGTTAAAATAAAAAGTATTTTGAGCTTTTCCTGTTTTTAATTATGTGCTCGTGGCTTCGTAATCAGTATACCAATATTTTTGTATTCACTTTTGTAACTGACGTCTGTACCTTTGTAATTGTTGTTTATTTTTTGTCATTAGAATAATATTATATTAATATGTAATTGACACATTTTTCATACTAGCTGCCTCGATTAGCTTCGCTATATTGAAGGTACTCTTAATTTATAAGTTAAATTTTGATTATAAATAAAGATGTTGTTGTTGTTGTTGTGGCCATATTCGAAGCATGTGGCGAGGGTGCCGTTTCTCCTCTCTTCAAAAGTTGGCAGACATCTATGAAACCTTTTACCCTGTTCAACAAAAAGGGTTAAGTTAAGCATATCTGTGGCCTGATTGATTAGATGAAGCGACCTGCCGAAGAGCGCACACATCTCACTTCAACCTATAGAACTCACACAGATCTGTTTTTCATAATTTCGGACATGAGAGATCATAGCTTACAGCTATAATTGTCTTTATATTACTTTTTTTTTCCGCATGTTTTAGATGTGCCACCGTGACGGAGACCCTTCCAGAAGAGTGACAAATGAAGACCTGCAAGAGAAAATTGACCTTCTTCAGGAACAACTTGCCGAACTGAAAAAATTAGTTCAGGTTTCGATGGAAGTAAAAGAGAAAAAAGAACCAACTTCCTTGTAATTTGAGTTAAGTCCTCAGGTGATAGTGTAAATGCGCGAGCTTTGATGGATCAGGGAGTTGATCAGTAGCACCCTTGCAGCTCCAATTTCAGTATTCCTCGCTCGTCATTACTCCATTCTTTTTTAACGGAGGGAGGAAAATAAGTAAGATTGTAGCCATCTCAGTAGTTGTACGAAAAGGTTTTTTTCAGCTTACGTTCAATGGACACTCGTTTGTTACCATTTTTATGAATAAATAATAGGGTGAATTTCAAATAGTATCTACAAACTATATCTACATCTGTAAGATGTCTCGTAAAGTTTCAATGTATTTTACTTACTTGCAAAGAATTTAGAAATTAAGAAAAGCATGTGTCCTTTAAAAGTTACTTTTGCTTTATATAATTCTTCAACTTCAAATATCTGGTCTGCAATTCTCTCCTTCAGCTTGAAAATCATTTGGGAGAATGTAGGGTTCAATCAAGATGTCACTTTTCTTATGCTTTAAATCTATTCTCTCTTTGCTGAAGAACGCGTCGGTATTGTAGAAAGAAAAGTAATTTTAATACTCTCTTTACATTTGATTATTTTCTTTCGTTTGAGTGTCAATATACTAGATGGACAGATCGCATTTACATCAGTCTATGTGAATTACAAATACTCTGCCCCCTAACCATATATTCTTAAGTTTGTTTCAGAATTTATACTGCTTTCTCAGTTTACGTAATCGTTCGAACAATGCGTGCAGTGTTAAGTCAATATTGCTGATAAGCGATCTTTTAAAGTTGGTTTTATACAAGTTTTGTGCTATTATCAAACTCCTGTAAAGTGTGCTCACTCGGGAAATTTCTGAATAAAAGAAATTTTGTCGCGATTGTTTGACAAGCCCATGATATATCCTTAACATATTTCTCCAGTAGTGACAGGGGGTACTGTAGGATACAGTGAATCAAATAAGAGGAATACACAATTCTCAAATCTGATTGCCTGTGTTACACAGTGCCCCCTATCACTGCCATCTTTCTATATTCCTCAGAAATTGAAAGTCGGACAGCCATCTTTGTGCCGTTCGATAAAGTGTTCGACTTACTTTAACAATGATGATCGGTCACATGTTAATGAACTGTCAACTTCCCAGTGCTTAAATGGAAAATTAATTGTTGCAAATCCCTGTAAAATTGTGTACAACCAGTCTTGCCCAGCGGTTGATCAGAAAAGATCGTGATCAGTCAAAATATTTCAAAATTTATCGATAAAGTCAAAGAAACTACTGCAAGAACGGATCAAGGAATGAAAATAGCATTTTAATTCCCTCAATTCGAGCGGTCAGACAGGTGGGTCTTCACAGGTGCTGTAGAAAGGGTTGGGGAAGCAAGAAGACGCATGAACCCTCCCCAGGGCTTACTGAACTTTATTAACAAACGCTTTATACATTTAGAAGTAGAAGAGTTTACTAACTTATAGTAATTTTACAGAGTGCAAGTATTTCCAGTACAGTATGATTACTACTAATAGTACATTTACTGAATTAAGTACACAGTGCTCACCTTAGAACTCATACTAAGCTCGTCGTCAATAATTAAAATAGGTGCATGTATAATCAATACACTACATGCATGTACACTATATGTTATACTACAGATGATATGCAGAAAGGAACATCAAGTCGCTTAAATTCCCCAGTACCAGGATCTGAAGCCATTTTTCAGGTATAGAAATGATTAATTAATTGAATGAATTTAATTTGTCTTTTAATTTTGTTGCCACTTTTGATGCACATGTGGTCATCAACAATTGTGACATAATTCTAAGACTTTTAGAAAAAATATTTTCATTCAATCTTATTTCTGGGTAACAACCTTAAGGTATTGTCACTTTTAGCAATGTCTTGTCCTGGTTAAAATCCCAAATGATTCAAGGAGAGAATTTTGTTAGAAAAGCCTCGGTGGTGCATGGATTGATTGACTAATTGTTAGACTCGTTAACAGATTGATTGACTGGGGTATTACTGATTGACCAACTTGTCGACTGATAATCAAACCAACAGATTGTCTGCAGAACAAGTGACTTACCAGGAGGGTTGACTTACCCGGGTTACCTTAGTATGTGAGATGAGTTGGTGTTAGAAGACTATGGGGAGGACCCGTTGAGAGAGATTTGGCTGGGGTCCAGGTTGACCG